TTTGGAGAAAATATATTTCATCATGTTTTTTTCTGTTAAAGTCATTAAAGAGAGGTAAAAAAACTTAAAATGGGTATACTGTACCATGTGTGGAATTTTCAGATTCATGCTCAAGAGGTCAAGAATATGAAGGTGTTGGGCCCAGCTAATTAAATGACCAAGTTAAGGTCATTTCCTCTTTTATAAATCACCTGAGATGCCACAGCGCGAGGTCTGGTTTGCTACAGGACTTTCATGTTTTATTTTGTTCTTAGTCCACTTCTAACAAGGAATTTCTAGTTTCAGAAATAACTACTTTGAGCATTAATTCATTTTGTAGCTGTGAGCACTCTTGTCACACACAGCAGTGTCCAGGGCATTCCTAGGTGACGTGGCTGGAGGCCGGCAGGCCATGGGCTGGGCGCTGTCTCAGTCCAGTCCTCACCAGGGTTTTGTGTCTCCTGGGCAGAAATGGCCACCTTGCTAGCCCCCCAGACACTGTGCTGTAGAAAGGGAAGGCCGCTCGGCAGTAGGACCTGCTGTGCCCCAGGCCTGGTGTGGCCCTGGAACAAGCAGCCCTTGGAAGTGCAGGTGCGCATGCTGGGCACGCTCGGAGAAAGGCGTTGTGGCGTGGACCAGAGTTCCAGAGGGGTGCAGCTGAGGCTCACCCACCCTGCCTGTGCAGCGACGGGAGGCTGTAACTCACATTGTGCAAACACACAGCTCTTTGGCTTTTCAGACCTGCCCATGAAGTGCCACCTTCTGTTCATAAATAATATGCTGAAGCGTATCTCTCACTGCTTCAGACAACAGGCAGTGCTTTCTTTCTTCTGACTTTCCTGTTAGGAACAAATTTTATTTTATAGAAAAATAACAGTAAGATGGAGCATCTGACGTGTGTAGAGAAGACGGGCTGCCTGTGTCACTTCTGGACTGCCAACCTTGGCGCAGAAATGGCCAGCAGGTGTCCGTAAGCTTCTTTGGGGGCCTTACATGCTACATAAGGGCTCTACCCGTGAGCTGTATCTCCAGCCCTTTTTACTGTATTTTTATTCTTTTTTTTGGAGAAAGGGTCTCATTAAGTTGCCCCGGCTGACCTTGAATATCTTCCTGCCTCACCCTTCCAAGTAGTTGGGATTGTAGACATATGTTATCAAGCTGAGCAAAAGTCATGGACTTTCTAAAAAAAAAAAAAAAAAAAAAAAAAAAAAAAAAATGTGTATTTAGTCCCTGAAAATCTCGAACACAAAAATTTATGCTGTCAGTATGTAAGGAATTGGATAAACAGAAGCAGTCTATCTGTGTTGGTCATCTCTGACTTTTCCATAAGCTAGTACTTCTCTACCCTTGTATTCTGATATTTTTTTAACCTATAGCATTGCTAGATACTTAAGTGGTCCCTACTTATATTTAACCAAGGCCATGTGTAATCCTTTTTTTTTTTTTTTTTGCAGAACTGGGGATTGAACTCAGGTCCTTGCACTTGCCAGGGAAGTGCTTATTCCACTGAACCATCTTTCCAGCCCCAACCATGTGTAATCCTATAATTAACCATACTCTGTGACTAAAGATAATCCAGTTATTTTTTTTGTCTTTTAAAAAAATTTCTATTTTCTTTTTTTGTACTGAGAATCGAACTCAGGGCCTTGTACTTTCCAGGCAGGCACTGCACCACTTAGCTACAGACCCTGGTCTGAGAATCCAGTTTACAGCTATGCTTGAACAATATTTTCCCCATAAGTATCCTGCTTACAAACATCTTTTTAAAAAAAGTTTAAAAAAACCAAAAGGAGGGCCAGCCAAATAGCTCAGTAGATTAAAGCATCTGTAAGCAGGCCCAAGAGCCTAGGGTTCAATCCCCAGGTTTGCCATGCTGGCCCCAGCCCACGGGTGTGCTGAGACGGGACTGGGACTGGGTGTGGTGGCATGCGCCTGTAATCCCAGCTTTGGGAGGCTGTAAACAGTCAGATCACTACTTGTCTGGTCTAGTAGTGAGACCCTGAACACCCTGTAGACCCTTCCCTAAAAATCAAACAAACCAAAAGGAAAAGAATATACTGAGAAGATATCTTCCAAAGCAATGAAGAAAGCAGAAAGAAAGGGATAAATGTGTGAACACAAGGGCGAGATCAAACACAGGCGAAGGAAAGAAGATAAGGAAACAGAAAAGCAAAGATGATGGTTTCGTCCAAGCCCTCCTCAGCAGTGACTTACACTGAGCCATGGCTGGTTCATACACCGAAAGGAAGTTGTTTAGCCTAAATATGGCGGCTCTACCACGTCACTTCTAGCTCAACAGGAAATTCTAGGAAGCTAACATTTGTCTTACATTAATCTTATGCTCTCCACTCTGACAGTAAATTAGCCATGTAGGGATTATACACTGTGAAAATCTCAAACATGAGCCTTCCTTGCAATTCTGCCCACACTCACTCAGGTTCTTGCCAGTCACAAGTGCTACCTCGCAGCCTGATGCCACGGGGTCTGCACAGCACACGGCGCCACAGGCTCATCTCAGCCCCAGCCTCAGCATGGTTTGCTGGCTGATGAGAAATGGAAGTTCATTTTGTAAGAGTCCTGGGATTTACTTGCTTTTTTGAACTCTCCAACACACCTTGCACAGTTACTTCTTTGACAAAGCCCATGGACCCAGCTGCCAAGCAAGAAAAATGAAATTCTACCTTTGCCTTCTGTCTGGGTTTGGTGTTTTTACTTTTTTCATTTTTTGTAACTGTCTTGATGCTTCAGAAAGTCTGTTGATCAGAATTTGATTATATACACTTCAATCTATTCGCTAATTCTGCACTTTTTTTTTTTTTTTTTTTTTTTGCGGAACCAGGGATTGAACTCATGCCTTTGTGCTTGCCAGGGAAGTGCTTATTCTACTGAGCCATCTCCGACCCCCTCCCTAATTCTGTGATGTGTGGCTGAGACTAATTTTTAGAATATGTAAAGATAGCTGTAAGCCAGAACATTTCAGGTATTAGCCAAATTAGTTTTCCTGTACTACATTAAAAAAGAGTTCTTCAGTGAAGATGTAGTTAAGCAGGATAAAATAACCTCTTCTTGTGAAGTTGCTGGTTAAATTCACCAAAACATGAGGAACTCATAAGCTACTGGAGCACCTTGCTGTGCTACTAAGTCACACTGTACACCCAAAAAGCATCCTGCCAGGGCCCTTTTTCCACAGTTCTTGGGGCTCCAATCCCACTGTCAAAGAAGTTTTTGAAGTTGGTCTCTGCCCTGTAAAACTTTTCTGATTTTCTGGAGGTGCATTTGCTCTAACCTGAGCCAATGCTGAAGACCAGGGAAAATGTGGAAAACTATAAAGGACACCAAAAGAATCATGGGAAGAAGTCCCACAGAGGGGTTGGTGAGATGGCTCAGTGGTCTAAAGCACCTACTTAGAACAAGCTTAGCAAAGCACAGGGACCGCGGTTCAATCCCCCAGCACCACATGCCAGCCAGCCCCGCCCCCTGGTGGGCTGAGCTGGCCACACACACACACACACACACATAAATAAATAAATTAAAAAAAAAAAGAAGTCCCACAGAATTTGTCCCTTGGTTTGTACATTTCATAGGAAGGTATAATTCTTTTTTTTTCAGTACCAGGGACTCAACTCAGGACCTTGTGCTTGCCAGGCAAGTGCTTATTCTACTGAGCTATCTCCCTAGCCCTTAGGAAGGTATAATTCTAACTGGGAAAAGTTTCTGGTGTCTTAAAAGTTTCTTTCTGGTGTCTTAAATAGTTTATGGCTTTCAATAATGACCTTGATTTTTTAAAAAATTGCCCTGATTTTTGTATGAAGCATATGACTTTTAATATGCTAATGTTTTCTTTTGAAATAACCACATTTTTTGTTTTTGGTGGCAGGAATCAAACTCAGGACCTTGTACTTGCCAGACAGTCACTGTCTGTGCTATATTCCTACCCCAATAACCATACTTTCTAAATAAGAGACTTTTAAATAAAAACAAATCCATCTCCTTATGATGTAAACAAAACAAGGAAGGATTTCTTTTCTTCGTAAGCTGCTATTATTAATGTTTGTATGAAGTATGGTCTACAGAACTTTTTCAGGTATATTTAATCTTTATTGCATTCCTTCATTTGCAATAAACAATATAATATTTATCTTTTTCAATATAGCTTTGGACAAAACACGAAGACATTAACCTGATTTAACAAGAGACACAAGTTGATCCAATGTATGCTGCTTTATACAAAGGGGAAAGAGGCAAGACCACAAAGACAGGGAGTCCATGGTACTGCCCACCAGGAATCATAAAATTCACAATATAATCCACTGTTTTAAAAGTCACAAAATAAGCTAGGGATGAAAACCCAAAAGTATACAGAGAGCAGGACTTGGACACGATTTGCCTTCTTCCCTAAGGATGAGGACAGAGCCACACCCAAGTGCTACAGCAGCAACAGGTCGCTCACGCAGTGCGCACAGGCACTTTAGGAGGCCCTGGTCACTTGTCCTTACAGTGGGGAGAGCAGCTCACTCTGCAAACCTCATCCCCACATGACAACCCAGTTAAGAGTGCTCCTAGGTCAGTGGTGAGACACTTCACCTTCAAAAGGACTCAATGAGATTTCAAAAGAAATATGTAAAGGAAAAGCCCTTAAACCATCTGGATGGAGCACTGCTTTCAAAACATGAATGTTAAAGGACTGCTGAGAGTGGGTTCGAAAGTAGTTTATTTTTTGGATAATAGTGTTTTATTTTCATGCCAGATAACACTTTATTTATTTATTTATTTTTATTTTTATTTTTTGGCCGACTCAGCCTGCCCTGAGGGCAGGGCTGGCGCAGCATGTGGTGCTGGGGATAGAATCAAGGTCCCCTGTGCCTGCCTAAGCTTGCCTAAGCAGGCACTTTAGACTGCTGAGCTATCTCGCTGGCCCCAACATAGACAATTTAAAATACAGGAATGAAAAATTTTAGGTAAGTCATTGGGCTAAGGAAAAAAGATGAGTGGTAATACTAACAAGCCTTTAATATTATCCTAAGGAACTGACCCACTTAACGTTGGACACTAATTAGTACTGAGAGGTTTGTAAATTACTTTATTTTAATAACTCCTTTCTGTTTAGGGGTGGACATTTTCCATACATAAAGTTTTTTAGCACATCTCCAAGTGGAAATGATTAACATATCTCTTACCAGAGAGCAAATTAATTATACTAAGGGGATGTCATAGCCAGCACAGTAATTGACTTTCTTGTTAAGAAAGATCTGATTGTAGCCTAAAAACATCTTTGAAAATGAATGAATGAAAATGGGATCTTGGATATTCAAAGCCCTGGTTCTTGAAGCAAAGATAATAACCTATTTTGCCAGAGACCCTTAAATGCCCAGTTACCGTTAGTACCTGCACAGAGAGGCCGTAACAGCAGCCATGCTCTCCTTGCTGCTTGAGGTCTGCAGTGAAAGCCTTCCTTCTCAACAGCCAAGTGTTGTCTGCATTCATTACACACAGTGAGAGTTTTGGGGATGGTGGTAGTGCAGAGCTGTACATGTGTAGTGTGCACAAATGTCTCCTGCACAGATTCTGAGCAAGAGGGAATCATCTTCGCTTATATGGAAAGGAAAGTAAGCATTCTAAAGCAAGTTTACACTTTCCACAAAACACCAGGGCATTCCAGTAAGCATGAGGAAGGGAACAGCACTGCATTAGTCATGCAAAGCAAGCGCACACATGTGAAGGTGGTTCACTTCGTCCTGCATCTGGAGCAAGAGGAATGCAGATCTGGCTGTCTTCGCCTTGGTCACTTCCCTTAGTCACTATGTTGCAAGCAGTCCACTTTCAAAGTCAAGGGGGCTACTGCAAAAGAAATACCAGAAGCACAAATGAAGCGAAGCACTTGCAAGAAGTCACTCATCATGAAATCACAAGAGTTGTTTAAATGTTTTATCTAAGTTTTTTTACTAGCATTTACAAAGAATGGTCACAGCTCCATGCATTTAAAAGCAGGTTCTAGTAAGTATGTACCATCATATTTTTTCCTGCATTCTGACAAGGAAGTTTTGCGAAGCAGGACAGGGAGAGCAAACCAACAGAACAACCAACTTCCTTGCTTGGTCTCTCAGACCTACAACACAGGGAAGAATTCTAGTAAAAGGAGACAAAGTTATCTGGGAAAGAAGCTGTTAAGTTCATATACAATGTGTGCCCCTTAGGGTAGGCACTGATTGAACAGAATGGGCCATTTAGACGGCACTGTTTGCTTCCATACTTACGTTCCTTCTTCTCTTAGGAGGGCCAAGAACTTTTTCACCCGGTACTCAGGATCCATCTAAACACATTAGAAGGAACAAGAGAGTCAGGCTGGTGGTACCTTCTAGCAACTGCGTGTCCATCTCGGGGAAGTGCGTCAGGGAAATGCGTGGTTTCAAACTTGCAGCAGTGCTCCACTGAGTCACAGAAATGTGTCCCTGCTCCTTAACAAGTGACTTACATCTGGCACAGCAGATCAAGTCAACAAAGAGAAAGACATGGATTTCCCGACACAGAGCCATGGAGAACTGTGGTCCCCTGGGTTCACAATGACTCGGCCAAGGGCCCTTCGCTGGTGCCAGTGCTGAGAGAAGTGCAGCAGACCTGGGAGGCAGCACTAGTGCCGGCGCCTGCTCATCCACGGCAGTTCATACCCAGTCCAGCTCCCAGGACTTCTCAGGGTAGACCAAGCTGAGATGAATGATGAAGCAGAATGAAGCTCACTACCTCTATATAACCAGGTCAGGCTTGCGTAAGCCCAGTGTCCCTGCAGCACAGTTTCTGCTTGGTGCTGAATAGAAGCTGAGCTGCAAGGCAGACAGTGAGGAGGGCTACAGACCCCGCCGCCCTCTGGGTAGCTGAATCGCTCTGCCACATTACGGGTCTGAGAAGACATGGCAGGGTCGGTCCTGCATGGTTCAGATTGTTACAGCTCTCGATTTTCATTCCAGATTCACATTTATATTAATCTGTTAAAATATATTTTATGCTTGTTTGTATACCACAGATGTCAAGTTATCTAGAAAGCCATCATTAAAAATAACTTTAATTCATTAAGATACAATTTTATTGTAAGAAATATTTCACTTTTACAACAAGATCTAGGGTAGAACTCTTCCCAGAAGGAAACTCCCTGCCCTCTGGGAACAGCTTTCAGATGCTACATGCAGCTGTGGGTGAGTGTACAGCTGGATTTCCCACTCAAACCACTTTTTAAAGATTTTTTTTCTCTTCTATCCCAGAAAAACACTGAACACAAGTTTCAAATGTATCAAAGTTAAGAGGTCAGGCTACAAAGAACTAAGAAAAAGTATGAACTGCTGACAAAAGAAACCTTTTTCCTCTTTGGGCATAGAATTACTTATGAATCAATTGTCAAGTTCTTTTTAAAAGATAGAACTGGCTGGAGCTCAGCTGTAGTCAGTACTTGCAGGTCTTTGCCCATTAAATGTATTTAATATGTGTGAGCAACAACTTACTGACTTGCCTGTAGCTATGGAATTAAAAGTCAAGAGAAAGGGAGGAAAAAAGTAATCTAGATAAATGACTTTATTCCCCCAGGTGACATCCAGTCAGAGCAGATCCTCAGGACCGTGCAAGTTTTAACAGAATGCCTACAGTGAGCAGAGAGGGAACATGACTTAGGCTCTGCTCATCTACACACCTTGTCACTCAGGCTCAGCTCTGTAAGGCAGATCTGAGAGCAGCCCCTCAGCTGTGCAGATCCTGCTGGACACGAGGGGTTCAAGCTCAGAGGCCAGGTAAGGCCCGAGCGCCCCGCTCTGTGCCCCACATCCATAGGAAGTACTAGCTTCCCCACTGACCTGCAGGTACCACAGGAAGAGGAAGGGAAGAGGTTGGGGAGAAAAACCCATATAGTTTATTCTGTGCAACTACTGAAAAACATTGTGCTGAAACCAGAAGACCAGAACTGACTTTCTGACAGATTTATTTATTTTTTCCAGGAAACAGCCAATGCACCTGTATGTGTACCCATATAAAAAATAAGCCTATGAGTTCAACCCCTGGTTCCACCAAAAAAAAAAAAAATAAATAAAAAAAGAAATAAGCCTAGGGCTGGCCAGATAGCTCAGTAGATTAAAGCGCCTGTGAAGGCGGACGCAGGGACCTGTTCGATCCCAGCATGCCGTGCCGGCCCCGCCCTGGGCATGCTGAGACAGCCACTGCGAGTGGGCATGGTGGTGTGCACCTGTAATCCTAGTTCTTGGGGGCTGAAAAGTAGGAGGATTACTACGAGTTCGATCTATGCAGTGAGACCTGTAGACCCTGTGCTAAAATGCATTTTAAAAAAGCCTATGCAGAGTGCTTCATCTGTGACTAATTTATTGCTCATAATGGAAAATAAACTGTCGAATAGTTCAGTAGATTGAGGTTTTTGAAAACTAAAAAATGTTATTTAAACTAAGTTTTCCAGAAAGGTTTAAAAAGCATTCACTTCTTGGTTCAATTTTTTCCTGTCTTTTTGAGACAGGGTCTTGCTCTGCAGTTCAGGCTGGCTTTGAGTTCACTTTATAGCCCAGGCTGGTCTCAAATGCCCAGTGATCCTCCTGCCTCAGCCTCCAAGTGCTGGGATTACAGGCATGCGCTACTGTACCCAGCTATGGTTCACCCTTGTGACTGGCTTAAGAGCCTCCCAGCTGTCGGGGGCCTGCCCCGTAGCTCAGTTCTTTAAGTGGCTGCTTCAACAAAGCAGTCAGGCTCAGGTTGTGGTGGATCGATCCCCACAACACAAGCCAGCCAAACCTGCCCTGAAGGCATTCAGAGCAAAAAAAAAAAAAAAAAAAAAAAAAGAGCCTCTCAGCTGTGACGATAACTACCTGGACTCCTCTCTGCCTCCCTTGCTCATGCTGGCCCCTTTGTTGCCCATCCAAGCCTGGGGTGGGCTCTTCGCTCGCTCGCTCGCTTGCTCGCTTGCTCACTCACTCACTCAATAAAAAGTTACTGAGCACCCCACTAAGTGTCTGGCTTGTTTAAGGGATGTGGCTAGTGACAGCCATGTTGTCTGAACTCCCAGACTTGGCAGAGGTATTTAGTATCTCAAATGAGGACCAGGAGACAGGACTGGCACCCAGAGGGAGGCATGGAGTTCCAAAGAGAGGAAAGGTAAGCTGGCAGGAGATCAAGAAAGTCCCGAAGGGGTTTCATCTGTCTCTTCTCAGGCAGCAGCCTTGGTCTTCTATGAGATCTTGGATGCTTTCATGCTACAGTAACTTGAAAGAAATTTCTAGGCCAGTAAGGGGAAAATACGCAGCACCCAAGTTTAGTCTACACCTTAGTTAATCAGTCCCTGACAGCAGCCTCCTGGAGCTCCTGTGGCACATGTGCACTGACTTCCCGACCTCTGATGACAACACTGGCCCTCTTCCATTGTAACAGCCTATGTCATATTGGCTAATTCAATACAGCCTGTTGGACACACAGTACCTGCATTTCTAAAACAAGGGGCAGCTAACTAATTGCTCCTTGAAGTGCTTTCTAGTTTTAGGACTTAGTGACTCCCTAAACTAAAACTAAAAGTAACTACAGTATTTTCTATTTTTGAATTTTTATTTATTTATTTTTTTGTTTTGTTTTGTTTTTGGCAGAACCAGGGTCTGAAATCAGGCCCTTGCGCTTGCCAGGGAAGAATTTATTCCACTAAGTCATCTCCCCGGTCCCTATTTTTTCATTTTTAGACAGGAGAAAGAAAGAAGTTATTATTTGATCTTAAAAAGAGGCTACAAATACTAATTTGAACTTAGGAATAATGTAAGAATTGTAATAAATGAATTTAAAATCTAAGCAAAGAATATATTAAAACTTCTCGGTGTATCGTGAAGTCCCTATGCCTAAACCACGCGAGATGGCCCTCACCTGCAGGGACATGTCTATGCCTGAACCATACAGGGAAGGCCCTCCCCTGCAGGGACATCTCTATGCCTGAACC